GGAACCGTCATACGGCCCAGTCCAATCAGTAGGAGTGTTAGGCGACCATCCAGCTCCAAGCAAATATACGATCGCCGCAACCATCGGGCCTCTGACATGTCGCACGCGCTGCCCGAGAGGAAGGAGGAGCATGTGTGCCGCAACTTTCGGCACAGCCAACTCGATTGATCTCTTCAACCTGGCCTCAGAGAGCCAGACTGCCAACCGTTGTGAAATACATTGCCTCGGTAGCGGATGACCAGGGTCACGTCCAGACAATCTGATCGATACGAGTGTTGTCAGGCATCTGCAGCGCTTCGACGAGCCATCTGCTGCCCCTAGTCGGTGGCGAATGGCCAGCACCGTCGGCCCGAGTTGCCCATGCACGTGGTGTCCGTAGATGGCCGCCGCCTGCGGCTCTGCTCGCTGGAGCTTGACAGAGGCCTGCCATCGGCGAGAGGCCTGTACAAAACGGCGCAAACGAGCGTGATACTGCCCCGAACTCAGCTGCCTCTGCCGAGCGGTGGCGCGCCCTTGGCGCCTCCCACAGCTGAGGCCAACGCCCAGGCACGCCGTCTGGATAGCCGCTCGCAAGTGAACGCCTCTGCGGCGCAGCGCTCGCACTACCGCTACAGCATCGGCATGGCGCGAACAAAATGATGACGCTCTTGTCCGCCAGGCTGATGTGCAAGCGCTTGAACTCCATAGCCGCCCTGATGCCTCCACGGATCCCGGTGGAGCTCACATGCTGTCTCGACCATGGCACTCGCTGCGGCACATGATCAAACCGCGTGCGTTCTCCGAGAGAACTGACAGAACTGATGAGCCGCCGACGCACAGTCGCCTCGATGCACTTGGCGAACCTCGCGCCGTTCCGCAGGCCCTGCCAACATCGCCGCGCACGTTGGACCCCAAAGGGTTCTGAGCAACAGCTGAGTTGTTCCAACATGCGTGGCACTAAGCAAACCGAAGGTTCCAGACATAAAATCATAAGTGGGAATCCTTTTCCAAAGCACGTTGGGCGAGAGGCTCGAATCCAACAGAATCGTAGAAAGAGACGATATCCCATGACGGGTGGCCACTCGGGATTTGCAACCTCGCGTGGACATCATCTTCCAACGCCCGTGTACACGCCCCTTTTCAGGGCGCTGTCCCCAGCGATGGCTGCGCCCCAGTGGCCCACCTCATCCTGCACGATGGGCCACTCCTTCATCTCCACCTCCCGGGCAATGGACCAAGCTCTGGCCAGCATTGCGATCAGGCCGATGACCGGATTTGTTGCCCAGTAGTCTGCCCGAAATACGAAGGCTTTGCCATGGCCACGGCAACGCTTGTTCGATAGGCAAGGACAAATCACAGAGAGCCTGTATCCCTTTCATCTGGCAAGCGTTGAAAGCCGACTGGCGAGAGCTGGTCAACGCAAAGACCTGCCCGCGGCTTCATCCGAGATACAGCCGATCTCACGCCAGTCAGTGTGAGAGGGGTCGCTGCTCGATCCCCGCTCGTTCCTTCACAGCAACGCACGTGCGAATGAAGGCTTGCGCATGGAGTGATTTGCTTCGAACTTGCGAACCACGACATCCTTGGGATGTACCAGAACTCCATCTCCCGTTAGGACATGCGGCTCATCGCACGCAGGATCGGGGTCTTTAATCATACAATGTAACTCTCCGTGGGAATCAAATGACGATGACCACTGTTAAAATTCGCGAAGCGACGCAGCCGCCGCCTTGTTGCGCGCCCTCATGGATGCACGGAACGCCTGTTCTTCTAGACTTGGCAGAGCTAGATGTCCAAGTCAATCAGACTGCGAAGCAAGCCCAAGCAATGCTCCCAGTGCCCTGCGCCCGCGGGACAGGATGCTCCAGCGCCGCCCAGTGGTTGGTCAGCCAGACGAGCCCCTGCAGCGGCCAACTGGCCCAGTTGGGCCGCGCCGTTCTGACGTCGCCGATGCCTGGCTGCCCTCTGCACCGCGCTGTGGGCCCTCGCCCGCCATGCCGATGCCGCCCTTCAACGGCTGCAGGCGGATGTGCTCTGCCTGCTGGGCCGCCGCGAGCCCGAGAGCGCAGCCTGCGCTCCGAGACCTGGCGCGGGTGCCGAGCTCATGGCGAGGCAAGACGGCCTGCTCTGCGGTCTCCACCCACCGCGAGAAGGCATTGCTAACTGGAAGAATGCGGGGACCTCCGACGCCGAAGGCCACCGACTGCTGAACGGGAGACCAGACGTCGCGAATAGATCGTGAACGCCAAGAATCGAGGGGCTCGACGCGCGAAAAGGGGCTCGAGGAAGCCGGGAGAGGAGCAGGAGACGCGCCGGCACCAGCAGGGGCGAGGCCCCCGGCCCGCCCCCTCCCGGGGGTCGACGTTCCCAGGACACTCAGCTTGGATGGGCAATCTTGCGACCTCAACCTCGCCCGACCGAACCCACCCCAGGGGGACTCGAATTCTCGCGACTGGCCGCCCCTACTGGAACGAAACTAGACTCGTCGGCCCAAGGGTCTTCTTACCCGGGACAGAACTCCAAAAATTCAAGTACGGGGCCCCGAGGGCCCGTGTCCTCGTCGCGAACGACCTTGGACGAAACCGCGGGACATGGGTCGATAGCTACAGGCCCCTGAGCGGCGCGAGGCTCACCATGCAAAACTTCGCCGTGCAAGTCGCCGCAGTCAATGCAAATGCGCCCACGTTTTGCGTCAGCTGCCGCCCGGTACTTAGCGCTGGAAATAGATCCTGCCACTGCCACTGCTGATGGACGGACAGCCTGAGGCAAACGCGCCGCAAACACGAAAGTGCGAGAGATGAGCTGCTCTCCAGCTCCGCGCAACTTCGCTTCCAGGCCAAAGCGCGGGGCCCATGGTGCGTCAACAACAGCGCTGACGCCCAAGATGCATGGGGCGCAACACTCCGAAGCTATGGCGACATCGATGTGCGAAATAGATTTCCCTCCTATGCTGGCGCGCTCGACATCGGCCCTGCGCCTGCGATCACTCAGCCGACTCGCCCGCAGAAGTCGCTCCAAACAACAACAGTCGCATCAATGATAGTCGCCAACAACGAGCCGCGGCAATTGGACTGACTGGAGACACGCACTTAGCTTCGAAAATCTTGGAACATTTTCACACACTGCACAGATGGGCGAGCGTAAAACTATACTATAGGCAACGAGAAACCACTCATGTGAACCAGCGACGGCATGAAACCGTCGCGGGCGCCTGAGCCTTCCGCGCAGTAACTACCGGCAATTGATGGGCGCTCCTGTGCCCCTGGACGAGGGGGGCCCCCCTTCCCTCGCTGGCGCGCCCCATCCGTCGCCGCCGAGGTCGATCTCCCCACGCCTCTCGCAGCATTGTCCAAACGCTTTACCTTGGGCGCCCTCGCCCGTTTAGCGCACTTCGCGCGAGTGCGCTTGCAGACGTGACTCGCAAGGGCGCCGCGGACAACGCACTTGCTGAGGGCGCCCTCCGTTTTCAAATAGTTCCCAGACTTCGGGCCCAGGCAAGTGATGTCGCTGTAAAACATGGCGCTGCTCGCCTCGTCATCCGAACTGGTGGAAATCGAAGCTCCAGCACCTGGTGGATCTCGCGGCTGGGTGGCGGCCGCCTCCACTGAACGGACCGCCGCCGCGAGACCTCGCGCATCCTCACCAGCGGCCCCAGCCGCCTTCTTCGCGGCGTTTCCCCCCAGGGGACTGCGCCGCGAGGGCGCGCGCCATCTCCGCCTTGCTCTCTGCCTTGGGCGGCGAGCTAGGCGCCCCGGCGGCCGTCGGCAGCGCCGCCCCCGCGCCCTGCGTCGCCGCCTCCGCGCGAGCCCCACTCGCGCGGGCGCCCCCCGCACATGCCGCCTCGGCCGCCGCCGCCGCCGCTGCCGCGCCAGCCCCAGCAGCGCTCGTGACCGCGACTTCGGGCGCAACCTCCTCGGTTTCCGCCTTCCTCTTCTTCACGTGTCTCTCCTGGGCCCTCTCGCGCAGCGCCGGGGCCTCGGCGCGACACTTCCCGACCTGCTCCGCCTTGGACACGAGGCTCTCCTTGACCTGCTGCACCTCGCGCTCCACGGCCATCCACTCATCGCGCGCACCCTCGGTGACCTCCTCCATGGAGTCGATATGCTTGAAAAACTCCTCGTCCCACGTGACGCTCATCATGGGAGGCTGGGTCGACGTCGTTGGACCGCACTCAGAGAGTGTTCCGGCGCCCACCCCCCCTGTGGCCAGACCAACTTCACGTGCGAGGGCCACCGCCGTCGTACGCTTGTTGATCTCAACAAAAGCCAGCGCACGCGCCGTCTCCTCCCCCTTAGCCTGTGCCTTCAACTTCTTCAAACGCTTGGCGGCTTGAGAGGCTGCCTGAGAATGCTTCACCGACGCATCCTTCCACGCACCCTCAGCTCGTCGAGCTGCCTCGGCCGCCGACACAAAAGAGACTGCTGGCGTAGCTGCCGCCCTCTCTGCCGCCGCTCTTTGCTCTTCCAGGACCTGCTTGCTCACTGGGTCCGAGAGGCGCCTCATGGCCGTGACGAGCGCTTGGATGGTGTCCGTGACGTCCTTCTTGGGGCCGCCTCCACATTCTGCAAAACTGGCTGTTGCTGGCAACCTCCGCTGCTCTCGGGCTTTGGCACATACAACTTGACCGGTTTGTTTCACTGGCGACACCGACCTGCGTTCTGCTGCAATTTACTGTTGAACTCCCGTGTGCCGCATGACGCGCATTAGCTCCAGGGTCTGGACATACTGCCTCTGCCGCCGAACTCACGAGCGCCGCCTCGCTTTCGACAGCCCAACTATCCGCCCCAAGGACGAGCGGCGAGTGGACTGCCCCCCACGCGCCACGTGGAGGCGCGAGGTTGGGCAGGCGAGCTGCCAAAATGGTGTTCGAGCCCCAGTTGATTGAGTCGGAGGGAGGGAGTCGGGAAGAGGAAAAGGAGGGAGGAGGAGCAGCAGGAGGAAGTGGATGGGGGAGCAGGACGACGATCCTCGATCATCGATTTTCCCTCCCCCCAGCACGCACTCCCAGGCAAGCGCGGGTCCTTGTCGGTCTTCGGCGACGGGGGTTTCGTCTTGACCGCGCGGGCCTGTCCTCCTCCCACGGCCTCGGCAGGTCCACTGGAATATTTCTCCACACTTCGTTGTCTATCCCTCCCTCGCTTTCCCTCTCCCCCTCTCTCTCTCGCGCGCGTTCCCTCTCTATCTCTTTCTACCTCCCCCTCTCTCTATATTTCTCTTTCTACCTCGCTCTCTCTCTCTCTCTCTCTGTCTCTTGGTTGCTTGTTGTTATTTGTTGTTGCTGTTGTTGGTTCTCTCCCTCTCTCTCTCCCTCTCTCTCGCTCTCTAGCATCCACGTGTTCTTCCTGGTCCTAGTCTCTCCTCCTCTTCCTCCTGCTCCTCCTCCTCCTCCTCTTCCTGCTCCTCTTCCTCCTCCTCCTCCTCCTCCTCCTCCTCCTCCTCCTCCCCCTCCTCTCATCGCTTCCCGAACGTAGTGCTTGCACTGAGTCGCTATAGGGTTCCCCTTCTGCCTCCATCTGATCGGCTGGGGGGGTCACAGTCGCCAACCGTGGCCGCCCGTGGGCGCCTCGTAAGCGACCTATGCGTTGGCCAAAACTTCCCGGACTTTGCCCAATCGCCGTCCAAGGCGACCCGTGATGGGAGCCTCGTGGGCGCCGCGTAAACGCCCGTGGGCACATCGTGACCGCCTCGTGCGTTCGCCGTTTTTCGCCTGGTCGCCGACCTGGTGGCCGGCAGGAATTCTGCATTTCTGCGGCCGCGCACTTCCTCGTCGTCCTCATCAGCACAATCGTTATCGTCATCATCAGTGTCATCATTGCCATCGTCATCGTAATCATCACCATCATCCTGATCATCCTCATCCTCATCCTCATCCCCCTCCTCATCATCATCTTCATCACCATCGTTATCACCCCGACTCTCACCAGCTTCATCACCATCACCATCATCGTCATCATCATCATTATCATCATCATCCGAATCATCATCGTGCTCCTACTCGTCCTCACCAATTTCATCATCAGCAGCATCAAATCATCATCAGCATCATCAGCATCATCATCATCATCAGCTTCAGCATCACCATCGTCATCAACACCACCGATGTCATCATAGCCAACGTCGATGTCGTCGCCCTGGTTATTGTTCTGTTTGCGCCCTTTCTATTCATCTTCAAAGATCACCGCGTCATTATCATCATCATCACCATCATCGTCATCATCATCATCATCATCATCATCATCATCATCATCATCATCATCATCATCATCATCATCGCCAGCGTCGTCGTTGCCACAGGCATTACCATCACTATAAACTTCACCACCATCTTCATAGTCGTCGCCGACATCGTTCCCACAGTCGCCATGAACATCTTCCTCCTCCTCCTCCTTATCCTCCTGGTCCGCCTCATCATGAAACAGCATCATCAGTATCAGCATCAGCATCGTCATCCTTATCCGTATCATCATCGTCATCATCATCATCACAATCATCACAATCATCAGCATCATCATTACCATTACTGTCATCATCATCATCGTTGTCAGCCATTCCCCATCCTCACCATGATCATCAGCGACACCATCATCATCAGCAGCATCATCATAATCATCAGCATCAGCATCGGCCTCGTCATCATCGTCATAATTCTCATCAGCATCATCATCATCATAATCGTCATCATCATCGTCAACGTAGCTATCGGCACCGAGTCGAGGGTTGCCAGCAAGTTGCGGGTGGGTGGGTGGGATGCTTGCGCGAGCATTGGAGGTAGTCACTCGCAGATGCGGTCAACGTTAACTACAACGCACAGGTTCCACCACACACGCAGCCTGCACATCGAGAGTGCACAAACTCACTGTTTGGGGTTCACGCTGGCAAACGTCTGTGCTTTCGAACGCGTATCGCCACCGCTGCGCTCCTTGCATCATCGCGAACAGTTCCTGGCACCACTGGGAGAAGCGTAGAAGACTCCAAATAGGGTTTCTGGGGACAGCACCGGCGACCTGCATGGCGCATGGGTTGCGGTGTCGGGGTTCCATCGTCCTCCTCCCTCTCCTCCTTCTCCTCGTCCTCCTCCTCCTTCGTCTCCTCATTTCCCTCATCCGCATCCTCCTCCTCGTCCTCCTCAACGTCCCCGTACGCCTGGGCGACACAGCGAATGGGGTCTCAGTCGAAAACAAGCTGGTAAGCTTAGGTATGTAGTCCGCCTTAGGCGCTCCCATATCCCAGGCTTTGGCTCATATCGCATGAGCAAGAGAGCGAGACGAAGCATGGGATCTGGAGTATAGAGTAGGATGGGCATCGTCAATGGAAAAGATGTTTTCCGATCTCAGATGCAAGTAGTGCGCCTCGGTGAGGCACAGTCACATATATTAGGCCGGGCCCGGCTTGAGCCAGGCACGGCAGCGGTACATGCTCGATTTATATCTCGCCTTTAACCTTCTCCGTTTAAAGTCGGAGGGGGAGGAGACGAGCAGGTACCGCACTTCTATTATGCGGAAAAACAGTGCTAAGCAGCAGCGGCTGCCTACAAGGAAAGGGCGCGCGAGTAGCCTCGCTACCGGCGAGTTTCCTCGCTGCTAAAGCGCACCTGCCCGCGGGTTTCCCCGCTGGCTCGGGAGGCAGGGCCGTCCTGAGACGACCTGCCCGCCCTATACGGTGTATGTTTCTTCAGCTCGTGCTTGAAGGATTGCTGGCCGGCCATTACTTGTAGGAGCAACGCGCGGTCAATGCTACCTTTGGTATGACCATCGGCAGTCATATCCCGCGTGTCACACCATTGGACGCTTTCCACGATTCCACGTTCCATCATCTGGCGAATCCAGCTGATGTGCCCAAGCAGAGTGCACTCTGTGGGCTTCTTCAGATCCTTGCTAGACAAAGATTTGAAGACAGACTCGGCATCAATAGTCAGAGTGACTTTGATACATAGACCGCCCATTTCCAATATGTTCTTCAACTGTGTGGGGGTCAATGGTCCCGAGTGTAGCTCGTGGAGCGTTACAATGGTCGGGTAGCAGTCTTCCAAGTTGTGGGCTGCTGCCAGTGTTTCCGCAGAGTAGCTCGAACGCACTTGCAGTCGATGAGACTTGCAGTATGCGTCCACCAGGTGCACGACGGGTTTCCCCGCTTGCGTGTGGCCACGCCTCAGCAGGTTAGCCCCGCGGATACCATAGCCTTTGACTTCGTCGTCTTCATCTCCGTTGAGACGACGATAGCCAGAATCGCTATGCAGGTCGACTTCTCCTGTTGGAGTCATAGCATGATACACGATCTTCTTCGGACCTGCCTGCAATTTTCTGGTAACCGCGTTTAGTCGTCGTACCTGGATGTTTGTCGGTTCTTGGATACGTTGTAGTGAGACAACATAGACCATTAGCCATACCTGCGTGATCAACGCATAGGCTAGAGCGCCACGAAGACTAACGAACATATCAGAAATTGTCTTCGTCGCCTTGCTTTCAGGATCAGCTCCTGTGAGTTCTGGATGTGTGATAGGACGAAGCTGTTTGATGTATTCGTCCTGGTCGAGAGTGACGCTCCCATCATCGGTCTTGTTGTACCGAACAGCACAGTTCGTGTATGTGTGCTTGTTCAGTTTGCACTTCCCAAACGTATCTTCAACACACTTGACATACTTGTCGATAGCCTCTTCCTTCCCAGTCATATTGATGTCATCAACGTGCTTGGCTGTCAAGAGATTTGGGCTCATCTCGAATTCTTCGTCGTATGAAGTAGGCTGTAGCCCAAAGCTCCTAGTGATGGACCTGAGCTTCAGCGAGAATGCCCTGGGAACATCCTTCGTGCCTGTCCCCGGTTTCAGACACCGGAGACAATGCTTTGATTCGTCATATGACTCAAAGCCTGGCAGTGTGCGAAGGACAGCTGCTGACCCAGGTGGTAGTGTGAAACACACCACACGTTCTTTCTCGCCCGTTGCCGCGGCGAGCTCGCCATAGGTCAGTCCCTTCAAGAAAGCCATGTTGATGTCCAGGGAAGCGATGATCCAAGCTTTGTTGCATGCAGCAGAACTTGCGAGCAGTCTCTGGCTTGACCTCCTTGCCGTGCCAGAGAAGGTTTCGACATCAAAGGCTTCGAGGTCCATGAAGCCACGGAGTACCAAGCGTAACCGGATCGCCCTTTCCATTTCGCCCTTTTCGTTCTTGACAAACTTCCATTTGTATACGTAGCGTGACGTCATGATGTTAGACGCCTTGCTTAAGTCAGTCATCTGGAAGCATTTGTTGTCAAGCCAAGTCTTCAGCTCTGTGTAGAGGGCTTTGGAAACTTTGACCGGATTTGCTTGGATGTCGGCCTTCGTGAGTAGATCGTCTTCCTTGACGACCACGGCACGTTTGGAGGCAGCGCTAACGTATACTCGCATAGTTGTGACGCTGCTGTCATCCAACAGTCGGTGTTGCTGCTCGGACAGGACGACTTTGGACATGTCTGCAGTGAAGCAGAGCTCGATATACTTCCCGTGCTCATCGGAGTCCAGATCATATTTGCTATCCGGTTCCGTGGAGCATAAAGGAACGTAGTAAGAAGTGTCCATGTCGTATCCTGGCGGGTGACCCCGCTCCGGCAAGTGGCCTTGCACATCTTCACAGGTCGTAGAGACTAATACACACTGTGTGTCTGTCATGTATGTAGGAACTGTATGCATGACTTCCTCTGTGTCAGCTTCAAGGAGTGTTCTGTCATCCATCAGTTCAGCATACCACGACTTCAAGACAAAAGCATCCAGATCTTCTTCTGTCTCCTCTATGATGGTCGGGAGCCGACCATCGTTGTCCGTAGGAGGCTCCTCAGGAGCAGCTGCTGGAGGTGATTCGCTTGGTGGTGGACCATCAGCGAGTTCCTCAAACTTAGTGAGATCTTGGTCAAACCCAGCAGACGGCTTCCTGGATTTAAGACACTGGATGATGCGTGAGTGTGTAGATCCTGTGATGTCATAGATGTTCAAGGCAGTGCCATCAGCTTCATAGTAATGAAACCCAGGGGTCACATCGTTATCATAGTGCACTAGTGTACAGCTGTCTGCATAGGGTGCAGCAGGCAGCTTCGTCAGGCTCTTGGCGAG